GCTTCATGTGTGTGGAGGACACCAGCTCTTGTGCTGCATCAACTTGCTGCAAACATTTCGCACTTTCTCGCTCTGGCAGTGGTTCTGAGTCAGGGTAGGCCCTTCGGCAGATCGGCGCTCTAGCTTTGGCCATGATGTTTGAGCGACCGCCGTCTTGCAGCTTCTCGGAAGGTTCCCGCTGCTTGCGTGTCTTGTGCTTGGACTGTAATCGATTTTTCTGACTGGGAACAGGTTCCGTCTCCCTCCATGCTTTCCGAAACGACTCAAGGAAGTCGGACAGGTGCAGGAATAAATTCTCGTAGGGAGGTGGAGCTGCATCGTTTGCCTTGTCCTCGGATGTGCAAAGGTATTCTTGGGCCTCCTCGCACTTACCAAACGCCATCGCCAGTGAGTTCTCCAACTCAAGAGCTTCTGCATGTAAATCTTTCAGAAGTCCGGCTGTGACCTCTGAAAGTTGATCTTCCGGCAATAAGGACACCTCCCTCTCTGCGAAGTCAACTTCTTTCCGGAAGGCCTGGATGCAAGACTTTAAATGCACGCTCTTCTCCCTGGCCGCCTTTGGAACATGCTGTAGACTCATCTGTAACGCGTCGAGAAAACTTGGATTTGCTCGGCGAAAGGTCACGCAAAGAAATTGGAGAGTGGACATGCTGCCAAGTCTAAAACTTGTAATGGCAGCCAGTGTCTCAATGGAGAAAGCGCGGGCGCCGCCGCTCATGTCCTTCATTCCATGGTTGATGTAGTTGCCAATGCGAAGAATCAAAGCCAGGACCTTCCGCAGCTCTTGGCTGCTTTTGGCTTCCAACGCGGCAAGATCCAGCGTGCGACACCGTTGTAGGTACGTTGCCGCACTTTCTGCATGCGAAGCGGCAAACCGAAAAAGTCTCAAGCGAGCCGTTGCCCGCGGCAGAAAACAGAAAGGCAAAACTCTCTGCTCAATGTCCCTTAAATGCTCGGGACAATCTTTGTGGCTCTTCAGCTTTTGTGTTTCTTCTTGCGTAGGGAGTACACTCGTGAGCAGCTCCACCATGTCATCTGAAAGTGCAAGCCGAGAAAAATCAAGTGTCCCTAACGCTTCGCACACGTCCTCGGACGAGACTGGAAGCTTGCTCAAAACGATGGCGATGTTCTGTGCCCTTGAAGCATCGAGAACCTTTCCCGCACAGGTGACACAGCTCCGAGGCTATTGTGGGTTTGGCTGATGCGTGGAAGGAACCCTACTGCTCAATTCCGAGCACGGAAACGCAAAGCCGCCGGCCTTTATTCCTTCAGTTTTCTTTTGGTGTGAGGCGCGACTCTTCGGGGCCGGGTTCGTTCTGGTACCTCAGCTCAACAAGCAGCACGAAGCATGACGTCACAGCGATGTTAGCAGCAGCTCACTGGCACCTGTTCCGCGCTGAGGCGCCGTTAAGCAAGGATGCCAATGCATCCGTATCCAAATCAAACGCAGCCTCTGCATCGCCAAACACGGTGTCGTGCTCAGGTTGCTGGTACTGAGGCTGAACCTCAGTACAGGGACACCAGCATTCGGGCGTAGCTTGCAGCACCGGATGAAGCGTTCAGGCTCAGAATGCTGTGAAGAGATTCCAAGGTGCCCAATGCATCCTTCGTCCGAACGGGGCTGCTCCTTTGGCTTTGCCTTCCTCTCGATCCTTGGCCTAGCGGATGTCCGAGTTGGGGGTGTCCGTGGTCCTCATGCTTTTCTGATTGGGGGAAACTTCGACACTTTAGCTTAAACTGGGAAGGCCGACAAACTGACTTCATCTCGGGAACTCGCCTCTTTGCCCTTGCCCTTTCCAATGGCTGAAGCATTTGAGCCTCTGCCTCAGATCTGCATCAGCTCCGGAAGAAGCGTGAAGCGCCTTTAAACAACTCATGCTAGCAAGTTCCTAGTCCCAGTAGTGTCCAGCATAAAAAACTGCTGTCTTGGAGTTTCGTCAGCAGACCCTTCAAGAATCACGAACCGTAAGTTGTCCTTTCGCAACTAATTTCAACGTTGGACACGGACAAAGTTGTGGCCCCCCCAACAATCCTGTATGTTCCTGCAGCTAGCCAGGGACGAAAAGCATGTGCACTGCTTGTTCGCACGACCGAAGCCGTCGCCGAGCGCAAAGAAGCGGCATGTCCGACTGAATGAACGAATCGCCAAGCACGTGTCAATTGAACAATCTGAGCGGCAGGGAGTCTCAAGGACAGAAGGCAGCAGCGGAGGTTCCGTTCATTACTTCTGCAACTTCAGTTTTCAATTTCCTCTTTGGGTCGCCGGCAGTGCTGAAAACCAAGTGCAAACAACGAAATGGCCAAAGTTTGCGAGAGTGTGGGTGGCACGGTGTGGCATCTGTCATGACCTAAGCATCCACTACACCAGCAGCTTCTGAGGCCCCTGGCCCTTCCCTTTGGGAGGTGGGCCCATGCCCTGCGCAAGAATGTTTGAAATGGAGCAACTTAAATTTTGCTTTCCACTCAGCGATCAAAGCCGAAGCCAATCTTAAGCCTAGGACTGTGCATCATTGCATTCGATGGTCCTTGGCACAGGTGGGCTTGCCTTTACCTTTGGCAGGAGCTGCTCCTTAGCCACAGCGGGATGCGAAGAGCTGGTCACAGGATGTTTGAAATACTCTGCAAACACTGCTTCCTATCTAGCAGCTACAGGCAGTCTGGTGGAACATGTGCTGAAGCAAGTGACCCGTACATTCCGGGGGTCCCAAATAAATATGTTCCACGACTGGAAAGCCACACTGACCCGACGGACTCGCCGGCTTCTGTTGTTGCAAGGAAGCAGCGTTGTGGTGTCGAGCCCGCTTCGGGATCCACTGCGGCAGGTCCATCCTGCGATTGGCCGCTGTGACTGCTCTGTTGTCATGGCCCAGGTATGAGCCTGAACCGTCTCGCCGAGCACGTCGGATTTTGAATGTGCATTTTGTTCCGCGCACTCCTCGGGTCTGGACGTATTTGTGTTTGACCGAATTCGATGCGCTACACGCGCAGACAAACAAAAAGACAGACAGACGAAGACACGGACGGAGACAGAGACATACAGGTACAAGCACGGACGCACACACGCACACAAACAAAGAGACCCGGAGACACAGAGACACAAACACACACATGCACACACACACACACACGCTTGCTGTAGACCTCTTGGTCTAAATGTGAGTCGGGAATTTGCTTCTTTGCTTTATCATTTTCTGCGTGTCTTTTTTTATGATCTCCCAACTCAGTCTTCTAGTTATGTCTAGACCTATATACGAGTACTGCTTTGTTGTGTCGTCATCCCTCGATCGCGAATCTCAAGGCTCATCTAAGCAGGCACAACGCAAGAAAGACATGCACTCGCTCTGGTTCAACAACATGTGATCACCCAAGCAAACACTGAAGCCAATATTAAGTCCACCAGCTATCCACTACGAGATCCAGGTGCGACTTTGCAGGTACGTTTACAGGTCCTTGCACTTGCGGTCTTCATTAGCTGAGGCACAAATGAAGGACCCTCAGCCCCCTGCATTGTTACTTAGCCCTGTTCCTAATGCACTCACAAACATCAGCACTTCCTCTCGGCTCCATATCACATGCCAATGGTGCGGTTTTCGTTGGGCAATGCACCGAGGGAATCATTGCCCCGTGCGGAAAATGACATGCAGGAATCTTTAGCTTAGAATCAAGGCCTTCACACACACAAACAAACACACACACACACGAAACTAAAACACACACACACACACACAAACACACAAACACACAAACACACACACACAAACACACGCACAAACACGCACACACATACACACACAAAAACACAAACACACACACACAGAGAGACACCGAGACACGGATACACAGAGACACTCACACACACACGCACACACACACACACACACACACACATACACTCCCTCGCTCATGGCCTGAGCATTGATTGCAGCACTCTCACAACCCAAACAAGCTTGTGCCGGAAGAAGCTGCCAATCTGATAATGAGCTTCAGACGAGACAGTTTCTTTAGCCTGTCTTGCCCTTTCTTTCGTTGGGCCCAAAGGAGAAGGATCCACACCCAACGGCTTTCTTTGTCTTAAGCTGGTCATCACACGAATTTTTATGCACATTTTTGTATTCAATGTCAATTTTGTGGCTGGGCAACAATAAACTTCAACGTCCTTCAGACATGTCGATAGCGGCCGAGTGACTGAAGATGTCTGCCTGGAGGCGTACAAGCAGACACGGGGTGTGCAACCGAACAGCCTCGTTTAAGAATTTAGATCGACATCCTGTGGCCAGATCTGACATGGTCTCAGTTCCACACTCTTCTGTCATTGGATCGCTTCCTCTATTGACTCGGACGAAGTAAAACTCATCCAGCCTCAGCAGAGAGCTGAAAGTGGCGACCAATGGTCTGAACCGCTGAAGTTGGAGGAAAAGTTTAGTCACGCAACTTGATGTGCCCAAGGCCCACCTGGTCAGCGTCATGAGCTGTGGCTTTTGCAAGCTGACACATGTTCACACGAACGGAGGCGATGAGGCATCGTGACATCCAGAGTACAGTTCCAAACGCGGCTTGTCTAGAAGAATTGCCTTGCGTGTCACTTAATAGGCCTGCAGCGGGCTTAAATTCTGTCCGAAACTATGGAGACAAGCCAGATCGCCACCGGACCAGACATCAAATAAGATTGTTGCGATGGACAGCGAACCGACCGGAATCAGCTCAGCATATGGCTTCGCTCAAGTCACACGGTTTGCCTGCGCCGCCAGGTTGCGACGTTCGTAACCGCAAGCGAGATTCTGAGTGTACCATCCGAAAGAGTGTGCCATTCCAAAAAGCGTTCCATGCATGCCGAACTGCCACGAAGCGATCTGCGGCGACAGGTTGACGTGCGGATAGCAAGCAAGTGCAGCATTCGGATCAGGTGAGCCCTTGGGCCAAGCGTTTGGCCGCACTTACACAGGTAACCCCGTACTGCACTTTTCAACACATCCTTGTCCTGAGCCCTGCGGATGACGTTGACTGTTCCGTTGGGAAACCATTCCTGCCCGCATCCCGATTAAAGCAGATGTTTCAGAGCCTCCCATGGGGAAAGAACGCATGCCTGCTCCCTGAAAAAAGTTGATTTTCGAGTAGCATCTAGGCCCGCAGCCCACGGACACGGAGTTGGCAGACCAATAGGCTTTTCAGACATATCGTTTCCTCCGCCTTCCTCTTGGGATCGATTTTTGTGAAAACGACATAAAACGACCAACATGGGAGGTTTGCAGCGGCTCTAAGGCCCGTTTATGTTGTATGCAATTTCAATACAGCTACACTGTTGCCTGCAGTAACTAGAATGCGTGATTCGGTTGAGGGTGCGTCAGCTATGAGGGGAGGTTGGAAGACTAGCAGAAATTGTTCACCACGTAAACTGCTTGTATCCTCGATGCTTCGTCAGCTGTCCTTTGATTTCTGCCTGGTGGCTTTTTGCCGCCAACATACCCGCAGACCTATTTGCTTAGCAGGAATTTGGCCAACTGAGCGTGCGAGACGAAGGGCTGTCGTGCTGTCATTGTCCGAATGCCTTCGACTGACATGCACTACCCTCTCCGATCTGCTTCCACATTAGGGCTATTGACGAGCAGAACAGCAGAATTACAAGCAAACACAGAAACTCTGCACCAAAGCGACGGCAAACTTTTAAAACTCTTGTTGACTTGTTGTTGCACTGTCGTCACCTCGCACCCACCTATATAATTGGTCAACATGGTTGGGGGCAGTGCACTCTAAGCCTGCGCCTCGTTCAGCTCCTGAGTCAAGGACAGTTTTGATCGCACCGGCCCACCAACACACCAACCAGCTATAGATAGCTAGAGCTGCTGGCAAGGTTGCGTATGCCAGTGCAGGAATATGCATGTCAAGGAGATATGCGCACCTATGCAATCAGCATTGCCTCTGACTCTGATGCTGTCATATGGCGTCATCATCAGAATCAGCCCCTGCTTGTTTCTGAGTAGCAGTAGATGCGCTTTGCATGCTTCTGTCCCAAACTCTCTCCCACCTCGTTCTGTGCCAACTCTTCTGCTTCCAAGTTTGAGTCCTAGCCACTCTCGCGGGGGTCGGCACGGAACAAAGGACTGCATGACGTGTGGCACTCCTGTAGGGGAGCCGCGTCGTCTTGGAGGCTTAACCACGGTGACACGAGAGCCAATCCGCCCTCCTAGCAGCGTCCACTGCGACGATACAAGCTCTCTGCATTGCGCACTCTGCCTGGCTCGTAGGCCAATGGGCTGCCATACGGCAACAGGCCGTGTGCAGCATCTCTGCGACTTCGGCATTGCCTGAATTCCATACATTGCAGCACGAACAGCTGGCTGGACATAGCTGGGGCATGTGCTCAAGTCCATCCCAAGGACCGTCAGCCCTCAAGAAATCAAGCGAACATGAAGGCTGAGTGCCGAATGCTGCCATGGCAGGTTTGTAGAAAGCTTTGGGTGCCTGCTGGGTGCAGCCTGCTGCATCTTTCCAGTAGCTCTGCCTCCCAGACTGACATGTGTCATCTCGAAAGAAGTTGAGTTGCTGGGCCCATGCTGAAAATCGCAAGATTGCTGCAACTGTTCGGTCTTGTGTGCAGCCGGAGTAATTTCTGAACTGTCCTTCTAGCAATAACAAGCTTTCGTGTTTTCGCTGGCGTGCCCCGTCGGCAAATTCTGCAATTATTGGTCTTTCGTCGGAAGCTGCTGCCAGTCTCGGAGATTTCCGTAGCAAACTCCGAGCCGATCCTAGCCATTCCCCTTCTTTCGTGTCTCACACGCGGCGGAAGCGGCAGGCGGCGTGGAAGTGTGAAATTCTGTGCATCCGAGCGGCTGAAGGGATCTCTGCAAGGCGGCGGCTTGCCTCCTCGGCCAGTGCTGCTCGAGCAGCGACGGCACCAGCGAGGGCATCACATCCCTCCTGCCCAACCTGGTGTCACAGCTCGCTTGCTCAGCTGGTACCATAAGCCATCATGAGCCCATGTCGACGGACGTGAGCAAAATATGAGGACTGTCGACATGGGTGGGTGACTCCGAGATTCAGGGATTGCCGGGGGCTTGCACAAACTGTAGATGCCAGCAGTCGGATCAGCAAAATGCGAAGTTCTGACGGTGTGGAACTTCCTGTGTCGGGACGGGTCTTGTTACTAAGATCTCCGAATGTGAAGCCGCCGCGCCCAGTGAGATGACAACGCAGGTTCTCGCCTGGGTGCAAGCCAGCTCTAGCTGCTCCAAGCCCCAGGAAGCTGCGAAGCCCAAGCAGCGTGGATCCTCGCGTTGTGTGACGTGGTCTACGCTCCTTGCAACTGCAAGCTCCTGTGTGCTGGCAGCTGCAGCAGCCGCTATGGCTTTCGCACCACCATCGCCCACCGGATTGCCGCTAAGCCCCAGTAGCTTGATGCCTTGTGCTCTTGCGCATTCGAACTCATGGCATGATTCTGTCAGAGGTCCCGGCCTGTGTGCGGGGGGATCGCCAAGCGCCTCGCCCACAACTAACCGTGCTCGGACAACGCACTTGCAAGTAAGCGGAACGACAATCCGTGCCTCTGCGCCTGCCTTAGTGCTCTCATCCGATTACTCGGACTTCTCTGGTTTCTGAGCATATGCAGCTTCGGAGCAGGGCGCCGGCTAGCACAATAGAACCACGACTTCCAATTGCCTCGATTCAAGCACCAGACACAAAAGCGCACGCCAGTCCTATGCCCCTTACCATGCCAACCGCATCAACCAACATCCTTCAAAATGATGAGGCGTCGTCTGTCGGACTGATTCTGCGGGACAATATAGCTGGTTTTCGATGAACTTGTTATGCAGGACCGGGGCCTTCGACACACGTTCCCTAGAAGCCAGCACCATCCTGCAGCGTTCGTGCGCGTGCGAGTGGTCGTTGTTCGAAAGACACAGCCTAACAGTAATCGGCCTTTGTAGACATTTTTCTATCACCCCTGCCTTAGGGGTGCGGGAGGCAACAAGTGAAACTTTCATTTTTAAGGGTGGGGCCATATGTTTCTGGCGATTTTGGTGCTGGTTGCTTATGCTCGGCCGCCGGGCGTGGGAGAGGTGGAGGGATCCCCGACGGAGAGCTGAACAAATCCAGCAACTGGGTACTGCCCCCATACAGTAACACTCCATGCTAGGGCTACTATTAAGACCCTAAGATATCTATCTTAGGACTATTATTCAACTGTTTCCACTTGGGCAGTCCCCAAACCCGCAACACCGACTCAGCCAGGCCGGCACCCTGCAAGTAAAAATGTGCGGGTCTGGGTGGGCAAGGGCTGCTTGGTAATGGCTATGCTTGATGCGTGCACACCCCTATACCAAGGAAACAAAACGACTCGTAGATGGCGGCGATCTATCAGTGCCTCAACATAAGCATGTCCAACAGTAGCAATCGAGATCTACATAAAATATACAGACTGAGGATTGGCTGAAGAGACTTCGACAGGTCATGTCGCACATTCTTTGGTGTTATGTACGGTGGGGTCCGCGTCCTAGCCCATGCACTGTCCAGGACGCTTGGACAATATCTTCACAGCATCTTTTCTACTCGGTATCGCCGTGGTCGACGACACGGGTGCTGAGAAACCGATCTGTTGCTGCAACAGTTGCTCCACGCGGGCCTGTCCTCTGAATGGCGAAACACTCTGGCCATTGGCATAAAACCTCCAACAGAGTCCGCAGGCCGACCGCTTGCCTCAGCATCCGTGTTCGAGCCATTGCTTCCTTTATCTCTGGTAGCTCCGTCAAACACTGGAATGTCAGTCCTTGCGGAGAAACACGCAAAGCTGCTTCGGACGCCCGCAGCAGCTCCTCAAACCCATCTTCCGCAAGGCGGCCGCCGACGAGAGAGTCAATCGCCGCAAGGGCACGTCTGGTACTGTCAGGTTTGCCTGCTAGATGAACTTGTGCATAGGCTTCTCCGAAGTACACTTCCGTCTCTGCTTCTCTGGTTAGAAGCAAAGTTTGCAAGCCCGTTTCCGTCTTGATCTGCTGAACTTGGCGCCCTTGTGGCCCAATCAAGACTGAGCGTTGCTCCGAAGGAATGAGCCAAAGTACTCTGCAGCAGCCGCTTTCCAACTCCATCTCCTTCACAAGTTCTCTCATGGGTACCACTCCTTAGTACATGTTGCCACAATGAAAAAGCTCAGCAGCAGCCCCTGCCCTCCATGCGTGGCCGCACCCTTGTCCATCTCTTCCTTATCCTCCCTTCGCATGAGTCTTCGACAGCGGTTCCCTCCCCCACTTATCACTTACGAGCTCGCTGCCAACGGGCATGTCACAAAACATCATAAAACAATAGAATTTCAGAACTGCGACAGTTCACCGACTGTGAACTCCCATCTTGGCTGCGCCGATTACGGCCGGTGACGCATCGAAAGAGGAAGGTTAGTAGTGGAAGCAGGCACATCTTCAAATTCGTCAACACGCTCAGCCGAGTCACCGGTCTCGTGCAGTTCTCGACTAACGCAGACTTAAAATAAGTTTGAAATCACTTTAAGCTGCCGAGGTAATGTCGCGCTGCATTCAACTAAGTTTCCCGGGGCTTATTTTATTCTTGGCATCTCTTGGCCGTCCTCTATAATAGACTCAAAATGGCAAACAAACCGTCCGTTTTCTGCGCATTCCTTGAGGGTCTTGGTCAATTTCAACAGCTAGCAAACCTCAAGCTAGTCTTGTTTTCGGGGGGCTGTACGATTACAGTCATGTACCTACTACTGGTGCTACTACGGTACGACCGCTGCACCATAGCTGAACTACGGTATAATTACGTACTTCTGTTGTACTACTGTACTTCTGTGCCGGGTGAGGGCAGAAACGTTGTGATCTTTGTAAACGACGGTACGACCTTAGCTCGCTTCAACTTTACCTTGCCGTTGATGGCAGGTGGATGTAGGTGGTTTGCCAAATTCACTCTTCTTCGTGTCCCTGTCCACAGCAGATCCCTTGCATCGCGCTCCCTTCCCTTTAAGTGCAAAGGGTCAGGAAAAGTATTGCCAAATGGGAATGCTTAGTGATAAATATTATGTGCTGGCTCATAGAAGACTCAAACGTTTCGTGACAGCAGAGCTGAAAATGGGTAATCATGGCCAACAGGATTGTTCCGTGATTCTCGTGTCTACCTAGCAAACATAGGCTCACGAGTGCTCAAGCTTTTTCGCAGCCCCTTTCTCTCTCCTTTGACCTCACAGGCGCCATGGCAGCCTCATCTCAGGCGTTGGAGACAATGGCCTCGCAGCTCTCCGCAGTTGCTGCTGGCCTGGAAGCTCTGAGAGTGCAAGGAGCAGAGCAAAGCGCAGCCAACGAGAAGACCACGGCAGCGATCGAGGCGATGCAGCAACGCATTGCCCAGCACGACTCCCTGCTCACAGGAGATGGGCCCTCAGTGCTGTCCAGAGCAGCACCAGTGGCTCGCCCTCAGGACTGGGAGGTACAGCTGCCACATGGATCGGCATCCTCACAGCCGGTGTCCCGTGAGGAGTGTGCGGCCATGATCACGGAAGCCCTGCAGCAGAAGGTCGGCCCAACCCTGCAGGCGGCGTTCTCACAGGCCGGTGCCGAGCTTGTCAATCACACGACGAAGATCAACACCCTCGGCACGAGGTCAGGATGTTGAAGATTCGCACGGCATGGACCGAAAAAGACCTCATGTACTCACAGATTGAGGCAGCCAAGACAACGCTGGTGGTTCGCAACTTCCCAGAATGGGCCCCAGCAGCAGACCGCGAGCTCACAGTGGCCGAGGCTTTCAAAAAGAACAACCTGGGCTACTTGGAGTGGGACCTGACCACCACGACCATGGAGGGCAACGACGGCAATAAGTTCCTGACCCCAATCTCCATCCTCACAGTCCCGACCCATGCTGTCAGAAAGAAGGTCATGGATACATGCTCTAGGGCCGTGGTTCGCTACTGGCATGAGATAAAGGACGAGGAGAAGCCGGCCCCCGAGTCCGAGGAGGCAACGGAGCAGAAGCAGAAGGCCGAGACACAGCCAAAAGAGTCGGCAACGCCAGGGTCAGCCAGCACAGACGCTCCCACAGCCACGGCAGAGGACGCCGAGATGAAGGGCGAAGGCTCACAGCCCTCACAGCAGAAGTGGGAGATGCGGACTTGGAGCTGGAACCTCCCGATCAAGATGGCACCGGGAAAGCGCTTGGTTGGGCCGAAGCCGTGCCGTCCTACAACGAGGGCGAGGAGCAGGGCATCGACAACTGGGTGGTGCGGTTCAAGTTCGAGTACCCGTGGGCACCTTCGTTGGCCTCTCACAGGAGGCACCCGGACCGCCAGTACTTCAAGGACCTGCGGCCAGTCGAGGACCAGGCCATGGAACCCGAGGTGACAGCCATGACTCCCTGATCTCCCTTCCTCACGGCAAAAGCGGCAGCATTCCGAAGGCACGGAAGGCACCTTCGACAGCATGGAGCCGACAGGAGAGCCGATCTCACAAAGGAGCCCTACTAACCCTACTAACCTACTACCCGTTCGACTCACAGGCGGAGCTCGACCAGGAGCCGCGCTGTCCCAGGGTACGGGCTCCCCGGTCCAGCCCCACCAAAAGCCTTTATACGACCTCACGCGCCGCACTCTCTCACACCGGCGGCTACAGCTAGAAACCACAAGCAGCCATAGCAGCAGCCAGACCAGACAGCAGCAGTCAGACAGCAGCCCCACAGACAGCCGCCAACACACCCATCACAGATGTCACAGATTCCGGCGGTTCCTGCAGACCATCTTCAAACTCAACACCACAAAACAACAGCACTCCCAACCACCTTCGCACAGACAACCGACCAGCCCCTCACAGCCGCAAACAGTGGCAAAGCAGACACGACACCCGCCACCGGCAACACGCCAGAGCACACTAGTTCAAAACCCACATCGCCCAGCCCAGCAAGAAGGGCAGGACCAAGCACGACGTGCAAACCACCCCCCGCCACCTCCTCCGTGGGGCGTTCTGGAACACAACGGGGCTCCTTCAAGCAGCCAAGCTGCACACCCTCATCGATATCATGAGGAAGCACCGATTCAGCTGGTTGGTGCTCACAAAGACCCACATGAAACAGCCCGATCAATTTATGATCGACGGGTACACCATCACTCACAGTGCCACGGAGGAGTACGACAGCAAAGCCAACCCCACACAGACCTTCACAGGGGTTTCGCTGATCACGGGCCCACACCTCACACCCACGATCACCGACCTCACTTGCATCGACGGCTCTTCCTTAGCTTTACCATTGACACGGTGTAGGCTCCACTCAGCATTTTGGCAATCTATGCCCCGCACAACCAACGAGAACAACAATGCCGGGACCAGGTCTGGCAAGCACTTACCTCAAGGATCTCAGCTCACAGAGAGAGATCCCAACTCTTGGTCGTGGGCGACTTCAACGCGCTTGCCCTCGATGAGATAGCTGCCCTCCCCCCCGCCACAGGCCCCCACTTCGTCCCCGGCAAAACCGCCGAAGAAGACGAACCAGCAGACGAAGAAGAAGGGGACACCAACCAAGGCCAGTTCCAAGACCTCCTGGCCTCACAGGACTATTGCCTTCCACAGAGCTGGTTGCAGAAAGCCCCACAGAACCGGCACACACACACAAGCGTCCCAACCGCGACTTGGTACAACTCGACCACGCCATCATCCACAAGGAATGGC